CTGGGCTGCCACGCGAGTGCCAGCGTGGGGAGAGCAGAGGGAGTCCAAAACCCACCAGCTTTGTGGGAAGCTGCAAGAAACCCACCTATTCTGGGATAAACGTCTCTGCCATGACATTCCTGCCCGGCTGAGGTGGATGGGGATGGGCGTAAGCCCAGTGGCCTGAGGTTGTCTGTCCCCTCAAAGCGTCTTGTTTCTCTTGTGTGGCCGTCTGCAGCTTCCCAGGGCCCTGGCTACGTGTCCCTGTTTGCCAGTGCTTGCAGTCCTGCCTGCGCTGCCCCAGGCGCTCCAGGCAGCTGCCTTGTTTTGCTTCGTGCTCTTCCGCTGGTGTTGCAGGACCCAGGGGAGTCCAGACCATTCAGGCCACAAAAACTTTTTTAGAAAGCTCAGAAATCTTCCTGTTAACCCCTGACAGCCTCTTCTGGGAGGCTGGAGCAGAGAGCATGCGGCGGGGCGCAGCGGGAGGAGGAGGAGGAAGGCTGAAGGTAGCAGCTCTTCAATTACATGAAATGAAGCAGCAGCAATGAATATGCATCAGTCACAGATGTTGACAAGGAGCTGTTGCTGGCCAACTGCAGAGCCGGCCACTTAATCCAGTCCCTGCCTAATCTGATCCTCTGCTTAATTTGATCAAAACTTCTGGCCCCAATGATTTGTGCATCAGGAGGGGAAAGCGTTCACCTCTCACAGCACGTTGATCAATGCTGAGCCTCTCTTAGCAAGATAATTTGATTAGAGGCTTGGAAAGTTTCCCTGTAGTAGAGCGGCCAGAGCGGAGGCTGCACTGGGGAGACTTTATTTCCCCTGGCACAGTGGGGATGCTCGTGGGCTGAGCAGGTTGGGATCTGCAGCAGAGGAGCCGGGCGCCGGCAGGCACGTTGGCTGGGCACACGGGATGTGGGTTTGGATCCCCAGGCTGCCCTGTGTCTGTGCCTCAGTTTCCCTGGGGGCAGTAGCCCGGCCCACAGTGAGCACGGTCTCGTTTCTCTCCCCTTCCCAGCTGCCACGGCAAAGCAGAGGAGTGCATCGGCCTCTGCCGGGCGCTGATGAGTGCCCTCAACTGGCTCCTGCGCTGCGCGGCCTTCTACGCCGAGAAGGTGAAGGAGACGCTGGAGCAGGCAGCAGCTGAGAGCCAGCTGAAGATGTGTCTGGAGCGGCTGGAGAAGATGCTCGGCAGCGCCAAGAACCGCGCCCTGATCCACATCGCAAAGCTGGAGGAGACGTGTATGTCGCTGCCCCTGCCCTGCCCTGCGGCACGCTTTGCCCGTGGCCGCTGCCCGGGCTTCCTCCTAGTCGCTGCTGGCCCTGGGGAGATGTCATTGCCACCTCTCCCTTCCCCCTGCCCGGCTCCTGCCGCATTGTCCCTGCGGCTCCAAACCCATCCATCTTCCAGCCGTGTTGCTGTAACTGTCTCCTCCCTGGCTCCGTGCCACCCTCTGCCCCCTCCCCTCCATGCTGCCCTTGGAAGAGGAGCAGAATTAATGTGAAGGCTGCGTGAGCGCTTGGCGGGTCCTGTGCTCCGCCAGCATGCCTGGCACAGCCCCGCACCTTCGGTTGGTGCCTGCGTCTGGCCAAGAGGCTGTGCCAGGCTGGGCCTGAAGCAGGAGCTGCTGGGCGGCACACAGATCCTTGGCTTGGGTTTGCAGAGGTGTGCCGACTTCTGCTCACCGTGGGGCCCGGTGGGGAGCCCCAGCCTCTGTGCTGCCGTGGGCCTTGGAGCCAGCCTGCCCGGCTTCTCAGCGTGTCACTGTCCCCCCCACTGAACGCCTGCCCTCCCTCCCCAGCCTCCTGGAGCGCTGTGGAGCAGTCCCTCGTCAAGCTGGGGGAGAACGTGAACAGCCTCAGCAATTCCCCACTGCGAAGCCAGGCTGACGACTGCATCTCCCTCATCAAGAGGTAGCTTTGTGCTGCTGTCTCTGTGGGCTCGGAGGGTAAAATGGGTCTAAGCCCTGCTCTAGGAGCTGAGAGCCTCCTGCCTCCCTCCACTCTGGCTCCCTGCTTTCCTGTCCCTTCCCGCCTTGGACCCTGCACCGGCAGTGGGCTGGGGCTGGTGAGAGGCCCTGGGGTAGGAGAGGGGACAGGGCTAGTGGCGACTTGCTGCAAAGGAGTCTTACCCAGGGGTTGCTTCTCTGGTGGCCCTGGGGCCTCTCATAACCCCTCAGCTGCTCTGGCCACACCAGAGCTGCCCTCCCTGCTCTGGATTCCCTCAGAGCTGCTCCCAGGGCCCGGGCTGTGGCACGGGGGCTTGGCTGTGCCCAGTGGCTGCAGGCTGTCCTGCCCTAGAGAGATGCAGGGCAGCAAAGGTTAGGAGCTTGGCTGGGAAGGGAGGATGGGACAGGAGAAGCAAGGATCCATCCCTGCAAGGCTCCAGTGACCCTGTGCTGTCTCTCCCACCCAGCATCCCCACCATGCTCTCAGTCCACTCCGAGCAGCTGAACAAGACCGGCTTCCCCACCGTGCATGCCGTGGTGCTGCTGGAGGGGACCATGAACCTCACGGGAGAGACCCAGCCACTGGTGGAGCAGCTGATGATGGTGAAGAGGATGCAGGTACAGAAGTGGCATCTTGTTCTCCTGCTCGGGGTGACCTGGGGGCTGTGGGACCAGGGCCTCGCTGCAGCTCTGAGCTGCGTATCTCCCTGTGCTGATCCTGATCCAAGGCTATGGGCGCAGCTGCAGGGAGCAGCGTGAGCCCATCAACACCTTCGCAGGGGGTTTAGGGTTTGGCGTGTGGTTGGGGGAGTCACTTTATTGCCTTTCTAGCACTGGAGGGTTTTGTCTGTGTGCCCTGCAGCGCATCCCCTCCCCACTCTTTGTGCTGGAGATCTGGAAGGCCTGTTTTGTGGGCCTCATCGAGTCCCCGGAGGGCACGGAGGAGCTGAAGTGGACAGCCTTCACCTTCCTGAAGGTAGGGCCCAGCTCCGCCACAAGCGCAATGCTCCGAGCCCTGGGCCTGCCTCTGCCTTTTCCCCGCACGCCTGGCCCCTCCTGAGTGCCGAACCCGGGCAGACCAATTAGTTCTCCTGTCCCGCAGCGTGCCCTTTGGGGTCCCCCCGTGCCCCGGCTGAGCCCGCGGCAGCCCTCCTGCAACCCGCTGAGCATCAGCTTTGCTGTCCAGAGCTTCTTTTCAGCCCAGCCCCACTTTGTTTTGCAGATTGGTTTTCCTGGGATGTTGTGGGGGAAATCGTGGCCTTTGAAGGATGCCACAGCAGCCTTGGGGCTTACGCTCCCAAAGCTCAGCAGTGGGCAGCCCTGGAGCAGTCCGCTTCGCCTCCTTTCTTTGTACCAGACAAAAGGGTTCTGCGTGTCATTTCAGGCCCAACACATGCTCTGGCCTGCGCTGGGCTCCTCTGCAGCCTCAGTCCTCTGCCTGCTGTTGAGAGGTGGCCATGCTCTGCGGCTCCCTGTGATGGTGGAAGGGCCCTGCAGAGGGGAGGCGGGGGGACAAAGTCCCCTGGGTGCACAGGCTGCTCCAGAAATGCTCCTTTCCCTGGGCTGGGAGAGCAGCTGCTTGCAGGCGTGTTTTGCGTGGGGTCCTGCTGCCTGTGTTGCTGGGCAGTCCTGAGTGCAGAATGGGGTCTGCCTCTGTCAGTCACATCCGTGCCCCATGTCTTTCAGATCCCCCAGGTCCTGGTTAAACTCAAGAAGTATCCCCAAGGGGAGAAGGTGAGTTTCAAGGGCCGTCGATCGGAGCTGTTCGCCGCGTTGTGTACACAAGTGAGCTGTGTTTGTTATGATGGTGCTGGTGCCTGGCCAAATCTGCGTGGAGGTGGCTGGGGTAGGAAACGATCTATGTCCCAACAATCTTTCTCTAACGGACAAGGTGGTGTTGGAGGGGAAGGTGGGCTCGTGTTGGCAGCGCTCTGAGATGAGTGCTTAGCTTTTGTGCACTGCAGGACTTCACCGAGGATGTGAACTGTGCCTTCGAGTTTTTTTACCCCTCTGCTCGACAAAGCAGATCAGCGATGCAAGTGAGTCCTCGCAGTGTCTGGGGCTGACCTGCAGCACTGTGAGCCTGTGGCCAGTCCGTGCCACAGCAACCCTGTCCTCTGCGGGGAGCCGCGGTACGGGGTGCTGGGGCAGCTCCTGGCAAGGCTTTTTTAGTTTCTGATCCAATTCCTTCTTCCTGAGGACCTGATGCTGCCAAATAAGCAAGGCAGTGAGTGTCTGACAGCTGATTCACGTGTTGGTGATGCTGTGTGATATCTGGAGCTGCTTTTGGCCCTGCAGCATCCTCAGAGGGGTGGGAGCAGGGCCAAGAGGGCAACCCAGGAGTCCCCTTGCCCTGCGGCACTGCCTGGGGCAGCCGGAATGCTG